ACAATGATCAAAGAGTATAGAAAAATGTTTATTGCTTAAAGTAATAAATTTAATCTTTTGCGCCTTGTTGATAACTTATTTACAATTTCGTCGGAACTTTCTCGATGAAACTTTCGTTTCTTTTGCTCAATGAAACATGCAAATCCAGGGATTCTTCAGCTTTTGTAAGGTGCAAACGAAATTTTTTTTCCACATATTTCTTAAAATTTTTTTTTCAAGGCAAGACGTATATTATAAGAAGTTCTATGTGATATTTGGAAATATGGATATTAAAAAAAACTCAAGCTAAGGGGGGGTCCGGACCCCATGGACACCCCCCTTTTATATACGCCCGTGCGTTTTACCTAAGCTCCAGTTTGACCAGTCAACCTTTTAGCAGCTTAATTATCTCTTAAAAAAGGTATCAAGTTCTGATAGAGTGGTTTTCATTTTTTTTTACTGCACTCTCCTGATAGGTACTAAAAATTTACTTAAACCCAGAGGTACAGTTCTGATTTATCAAAGTACCCTTCCCTCCAGCAGTACTCTACTGCTGTGTACCAACTTATTATCTCTTGACTTATTTAGTTTGACTTAATTTAAATATTTGTCGTCTGAAAATTATTTTAAATTGGTTGATAAAAACACTTTGCTAGTTTATCATGTGAATTTTTAGATATCTTATGCATTAACATGCAAAATTGTACGAAAAATAATATGTAATGCAGCTACATTTTTCTTTACTATGTGCTTGAACTTGTAGTTTAGATTTCAATTTAAAGTCTTTTTTTCTATACTTTGAGAACTTTTTTGTTGGAAACATTTTAATGTAATTAATTTAGAGTCTAACCATATGTTCTTGCTTTCTTATTTTTTGCTTGTTTAATTTTTACCTTGACTAAATGCAAAGACATACATCGGTCCAGTTTTGATTTCTGTGAATCCGTTCAAGCAAATGCCATACTTCACAGAGAAGGAGATCGAACAATATCAAGGAGCTGTAAGTTAATCTCTTCTTAATCATTGTCTTTCTACCAGTTAATGTTAATCAAAATTACAATGGAATGTTTTCATAAAATTTTATTATTTTTGTCTGATAATATTTTTAGAAAAATGAAGAAGTTGTCTTTTTTTACTACCTATTTTAATGAAAAGTTCAATTCAGATTTATTTAGTTATTGATAATTATTTAATTTTTAATTTCATTCCTTCATTTTAATAAAAAAATTTTCTTAAGTTGTCCAGTTATATAGTTAAAAATCTCATGATATTTGACCCCAGAGATATTCACCTCCTTTATTTATAGGTTTTTTAGTAGGGCCTAGTGGACAGGGTGATGGACACACGCTCGTGAGAACAAGAGTTCGTATCCAGCCGGCCGAAGACTACCCGCATAGTGAATGGTGCATGTAAAATGTATTGAGTCACTAAGCCCTCCATGTTTCCATAACAAATTATACCTCTATGGGTACTGGATTGGGGATTGATTGTTCTCTGGTTCAGGTCAAAATTACAATCTGTGGATGGATGTATGAATGGGTCCAACCTATAAACAAACGGGTGTGGCAGAAGTCAAATTCTTTGCCGTAAATGGCGCCACTTCAAAACAAGAATAATCGCAACCCCAGTGCCTTAATGGCCTATGACAACAACAGTTTTTTAGTGATTTTAAATTTTACCATTATTTTTTTTCAAAGAAATACCTTTCAGTTTTAAAAAAGCACCTTAAATGTTTATTTTCACATAACTTTCAGTTTAAAATATAAATCAAATTTTTCATGTTGTTTTTCAATTATTCCTTTTTTTCATTTTACTTTTTTATTACAGAGAGGGTCATTTTAGCTTGCCTTTAATTATTCTTTAAAAGCTTCAAATTTTTCTGTTATTTTAATAATGAGTGAAAATTACTATGAATGGATAATCCGCAAAATAATAAATATACTAATGTGATGTTTTTTTATAACTATATTATAAATGTCATATTAACTAACAAAATATTGAATACGATGTAAAATGTATGAAATCAATGTGTCTCCCTCTATAATTATTCAATTCCAATTCACTAGTATATAAGACATGTTAATTCGATTCTATCTTGGGGTACCTTTACATAGGTGAGGAGTGACATTGTCGGTAGCTTACCCTCTACATTAGTGACCTGAACATGCCTACTTCGATAGATGATCCACATTGAACAGTAGACTTGCTATTTGTGACTGCGACATTATCCTTATCAGGCTGTTGCTACTCAGTCTCGATCACACAGCGTCCGCCTGTATATACTCGACTGCTAATGGCTGCACAGAAGGGACCACGACCGTGAACTTAGTTCAACTCTCTCAAACAGCACTCAAAAGTACGGTGATCTTAATTCAGCTCTCTCGGCTTCTTGCAAAGCATCAATGAATCAACTAGTGGTATCTGTTCAACGAATTCTATCACAGATATAATTCAGGTGGAGGAGTACTGTAGTGTATCTACCACTACAAAAATGCAATTCCAGTTCACTGGTATATAAGACACGTTATCTTGATTCTATGTTGGGGTACCTTCTCATAGATGAAGGTTGACATTATCAATCATTCGCACCACAAATCATTCTAATACATGTATCTAAACTCTGTTTTGGACGTTAATCTTATATGATGAAGCATTAATTGAGACTATTTTAATGTTTAAGAAAAATGTATTTTATAGAATATGAGTGATTGTAATTCGATATCACTTACACTTTAGAAAAACATGAAAGAAAAATATCTTCACGGTTATGTAAAGTTTTGGTAAGTGCGTTTCTCTACATTGGAAAGAAATTCTTCAACTTTCAAAAGTATTATTTAAGTAGTTATTAATTTGCCATATCCATTAGAAATGATGTGTTCATAAACTTTAATCAAACCTTACCCAAAATCCATAATAAGAACTACTAATTGAATCAAAAGTATAAGAAAATCACTTCTTATTCAGTATTTTATTCTCATGAAAATTAATTTCAATGAAGAAAGTTTTTTTTCCAGTTTTTTTAGTTATAAGTATTTTTATTTTAAAAATAAAAAATTAGTTTTTTAAAATCTCATTTTATCTGTCAAAAATATCTCTTTAGGCATCCTACGAGAACCCACCTCACATCTATGCACTGTCTGACAACATGTATCGGAATATGCTAATTGACAATGAAAGCCAGTGTGTTATCATAAGGTGGGTTGATTAATTTACTATTGATTGATTTTTTATTTCTTAACATTTTTTAAAGATTTGACTACTCAAGTTTTAAGAGGAAAGAAATATTTTTCTTTTGTTGTGAAAAATTATTTGGAAAATTATTATTATTTATTATTATCAAAGCTTGCACAGATATGTTTTGACGAAAAGGGTGTTCAAAAACTGGACTGGCCTTCTCAGGGCCCCAATCTAAATCCCATCGAACACCTTTGAGATGAATTAGAGCTCAGCTGTGATGGAAGCCTGGAAGTCAATTCCTATAGCCACCTATCGAAAACTGGTGGAAAGTCTTCCCAGGTGGATGTAGGCTGTCATCGATGCAAAAGCAGGGTTGCCACAGGCGATTAAAATGCCACTATTTGCAACTATTTTTGGCATGAGGCGACTATGGCAACTATTTTTGCCTGAAATGCTAAAAAAGCAACTATTTTCAGGAAAAGGAGACTATTGGGAGACTTTTCTGAACTCCTAGCGATGTTTTTTTTTAAAGCATAAATTGGATTGAAAATCTGCACCCCACAAGATAGTTTCTGAGCACACTGAACTTTTTTTTTCTTAAGAAATAAAAAATTTTGAATTGCAAATATGAGTCTTCACTTTTTAATTCATTCAATCTGTACTTTTTGACTCCATTGTAAGTCTATTTCATTTCTTGATTGCCTTTTCAATGATTATTACTACAAAATTCCACATGTTTTTAAAAATAAAAATAAAAATTTTAATACGATATTACAATGCATGAATTTCGAGTTTGAGTAATCACTTTTCATATAAATATATATATATACAGTCAAACCCCGCTATAGTCAACACGGTTTATAGTGAACTCCCGGATATAGTGAACAAAATGTTTGGTCCCGTGCCGTGCTATACACATATAATGTTATTTTCTGTGGATATAGTGAACCAAAAAAGTGAGGAAGTTGGATATAATGAACTTTTTTCTGTCTTCGGCTGATTTTTCTTCTTCATTTTTTTGTATTAATTTTGAAATTTCTATTTTAAAATAAATACATATGCCGATTTTTAAAACCATCTATAGAGGGGAATGTAGCGATAAGCATATTTTCTTGCTTGCTTCTTTTTTCTCACTTTCCCATCCCTAAACAAACCAAGCAGACGTTTCCAACCCAGGCAGATGATGCACCTGTAAGGTGTCAGTGCGATCAATATGCATTTTCTGTCAGAGGGAATGAGTGATTATTCATTATTGGTCAAAGGGTTGGACACTAATCTGTGTTGATAAGGCCCTCATTTCAACTCCTTTTTGCTCTCAGTTCAGTTAAAAAAATCCTGCAAACAAGTGTCTCAAATTTAACTATGGCGAGCAGTAAACGTAAAACGTTCTCCATTGATGATAAAATGGGCATAATCAGAAAAATCGGAAATGGATGCAATCAAGCTGATATTTGCAGGGAATATAAACCATCCATATCTGCAGTTTGTAACATATGGAAAAATAGGCAATTAATAATTTCTGCTCATGAAAAAATTTAGATGGCAGAAAAAAGCAGATCACAAGGATGTTGAAGAAGCATTACTGAAGCAGTTCACCAATCGAAGAAGCCGTAATCTTCCAGTATCTAGACAAATGTCGATGATTTTGCTAAGCGATTTTATGTTACTATTTTTATGTGCTCGAGTGGAAGGTTAGACAGGTTTAAAAAGCGGAATAACGGAAATTCACAAAAGATTATCTGATAGTCTGGAAGTGTTTCCATATCTGAAGTAGAGGATTGCTCATCAGCTAAAGATTACAATTTTTTTTTTTTGTACGCAAGACGAAGAGCAAAGAAAAATAACGCATTTTTTGATACTACACAATATTTTTCAGTCATTTATTTGAATAATGTGTAATAAACGGAAGCAGTTTGGGTCCCATTAGTTGAATTCCCTGCGTACCGGATATAGTGAACTCCCGGTTATAATGAACCGAAATTTCGGTCCCTTGAAGGTTCACTATAGCGGGGTTTGACTGTATATATATATATATATAAACATTAACGTTTATATAAAAATTATCATATTTGCCACCAACTTGACTGAATGGATCATGGTATATGACAATTAAGTCATTAACAAAATTTTAGTCATATTTTTGATGAATTTTTGTTCTTACTTAGGCAACTATTTTCCTAGTTTTTGGCTACTATTTTCATGTTTTAGGCTACTAAAAGCAACTATTTTGTTCATTTTTTTCTGTGGCAACCCTGAAAAGGGGGGACCAACATCAAATTAATGTGTGCCTCAGGACACTCTAAGTCCATACCACTGGGTGTCCAGATAGTGTAGTTTTTTATGATTACTATTGTGGTTAAAGTGTAATCCCAGTTAACAGAAATATTTGTTTGTTTCTTTTTTTGTAAATAACAATAAAATGTTTTCTTCATTTGCAGCGGAGAAAGTGGAGCTGGAAAAACTGTTGCAGCAAAATTCATCATGGGATATATTTCACAAGTATCTGGAGGTGGAACTCGCGTTCAGGTTCACTTCTTTTTTTTATATATATCTCTCTTTCTATAAAATAATAATTTTTAAAAAAACTCCTTTTTATGTACACTATTGTTTGGACAATTTAATTTAGTTAAAACTACACCTTTAGCAATAGGTATTGATAAATATGGAATTTAAACTTAGAAAATTTTTGACAAATTTGATAACTTTTGTTGTGTAAAATGACCATTTTCATCCGAATTGTCCGATGACGCTGGATTAGCAGTGGCACACGTGTGGGGCGACGGCTCTCATACCCGAGAACACGCATGTTCCGACGGATTGTCCACTGGGACACGTCTCGGATCACTGGAACACTGAATCACGGCCAGTGTTGAATTCAGCTGTGATTTGTTGCACATTTGCTCTCCTATCTCGAGTTACCACTCGTTTCAGGTTTCACCTGTCTCGGTCATTTAGAGCCTGTTGACGCCCGTTATGGTGTCTGTTGTGGACTGTGACATCCTCATTCACCCATTCTCGGTAAACTCTCGACACGGTTGACCTTGGGAAGCCGAATTCCTGAACCACTTCCGAAATGGAATGTCCCATGCCTCAGGCACCCACAACCATGCCGCGTTCGAATTCCGTCAACTCACGACGACATTGCATTTTACCTGATCACTCACACAGCCACTTCAAGCAATGTCTAACACACAACTGAGACCGTCTCGGAGGCCACCAGGTGGCGTTGGTCACACGTGTTGTCCATCCACAAATCAGAGCCCTGCTATCCCATGAGTTTTTCTCAGTCAGTGTAGATTGCATAATCTTGTAATGTTTATAGGTGATTGTGATCAGTTCTAGGCTCCTGGGATATTATCTCTGCTCACAACTCTCTGTATAGTGACATCTCCATGGTTCATGCTAGACTTTACCTCCGTGTTTACTAAAGATACAACTAGGACTGGGCGATATTAGAAATTA